ATGTGTGTGTGTATTATTCATAATTATTTATATTTATTTTTAATAACTGTATTATATTATACTTACAACATCATTGTTTGTTTTGTCAAAAAGGCCATGAGCAAATACAGCCACTACAAACACATTAATTATAAATGAAACAAACAATGCAATGCAGGCCTCAATAAAGTAATACATATTCGCATCTTTGATTTTTGCGGGTTGTCTTCGATCGATATCTCTCGACTAAAAAAAAATGGAAACATCTCATGTACATTTATTAGAAAAGTCGAAAAGTTGAATTAGTATATACTTTTACTATTTATTGTTCTTACTTTGACTAAGGCACTGTGAAGGTATAAATTATGCGGCATAATGACCGCGCCAACGATTCCTACAGCTTGAAGTAATACCTTGTTGTCGTAATTCATCCCATTGTACCATGGGACAAACATACCAGTTATAACGTCTATTTGAGAAGGTTCGGAAACAATGTACTAAAATATAAAAAACCAGTTTAACATAATGTCAGACTCTAAGCAATGCAATGAAATATTCTAGAAATAGATCTACCTCATAACCAAAGGTAATACCCATGACAGAAATGAGAACACCAAAAAAAAGCTCTAATTTCCGCAAACCGTATTTATCCAAGAATAAAAATGTAAATGTATCTATTACTGTAATAAGTACACCACCCCATATAGGAATCCTAGAATCCAAAAGGGGGAAATATTCCACATATCAATATTTCACAAAATCATTGTGCATTATCTACGATCTTAAGCTTTTGAGAAAGAAAGAAGAGAAAAGCAAATAAAATAATAATCAACTAAAAGTAACAATCATGCAAAGAATAAATGCATTATATATGCGACTATGTAAATATAATACAATATTTTAATTTTGCAATAAGTTGCAAAATATGTGTATCATGTAGATTTTGTAGATTATAATTTGTTTTTGATTATACTATATATATGTTTTTGATTATACTATATAAAATATTAATATTTATTCCCCTATATTTCGTATAGTTAAACAATTTTCAAGTTCTTAAATAACGACTAATTGCATCCAGTACTGAAGAGATTAATAACGCGAATCACGTTTTAAATGTTCTAGATCTCCACTCTAATCTCAAAAATGTTTTTTACATGTTAGCTTATGTGTGCATTGAAGATAAATATTAACTAATTGTATCAGAGATACTTACGCTTTATTTGATAAGAGATAAAGGGCAATAGCCGTTCCTATTACCTCTTGCATATCGCTACCGATAATAGCTATTTCAATCATTATCCATAAAATAAATCTAGGTACTTTTTTGTATTGTCTGTAACACATTTCTGCTAGATGTAGACCAGTTACTACACCAAGACGCGCACTGAGTCTTTGCATAACAAGACCTAAGAGTGTAGCGCTTAATAACACCCATAATAACTGAAAACGAAGATGTAAACAAAAAGATAATTGCAAAAATATTAATCAAACTTTTGCATAATATTGAAATAAATAAAACACATTCCAAGCAACATTTAATTTTAATGATTCTTTGCCAAAGATGTACCTTATATCTTGCTACCACTCCAGATTGTAGATCTGATTCTATGTTACCAGGGTCCAAATAAGCTATAGACATTAAAAAACCAGGTCCTGTGAAAGCCCATAATTTCCTAAAACTAAATCCTGCCTGCAAAAAAATTTCCACTTATAGTTTACATTAAGAGATAAAGTCATAAAACTATAAAGCTTTTTAAAAATTTCAAATACTGATAATATATCAAATTGCAAGTGTTAGAGTCTGGAAAGAAAGAATATGCTCTAAATAATTATGCCTAGAAATTGTCTGTAAATCATACATAAAATACAATGTCCACTTACACTTGCTATTTCTGGCACTGGCACTCTTTCATCAGCAAAATAGGTCTGATTGTTGTTCGGAGATAAGGAGGTGTTCTCAGTGGCCCTTTTATTTTCTGCTTCGTGCATACGTTGATGTGGCACTGTTGTGACAGTGGTGGCATCACCACTGGCTTTCACGTCGTAATTATTCTGCATTTTGTGTATTGATACAATACCCTAAAAAGACATTTTGTTATTTATTGAAATAAAGTCAGCTTTTCGTTTATGATGTAATTGAGCGAAGACACATATGATATCCTGATGCAGGGGGTTCGAGAAAAAAAAAAGGTAGATAAATTTTAGATAATCAGTGACCTACAAAACAACTTTAAATAAATAATAGAGTTAAACGATCACGTGTGTTTTTTGTTCGCTGTAACATCGATTATTATACAAATAAAATTCGTTACAAAACGGCAACAGTACGCTAATAATATATGAAACGAAAAATCACATGTAAATTAGTAGATCTCTATTATTTTAGGTCGCAGATATAGATTTTGCAAAAATTAGCGGGTTGAAACAAATAATTTTCAAATCTCGAGAAAGGTATGAAAAACAAAAGAATCGTGATTTCATAAAGCTGAAGGTCACATCATAATTTAATGTTATTTACCTATACGTGTTGCGATCATTGATCGTAGATCATTCGCGACTCGCGACTGTCGCAATTATATGACTACGACGTAACCAGCACACACACTGCGTAAGGACTGTTCGTACTAGACAAGCTGCAAGTCTGCGAACTTGGACAAGTAATCGTAACCAGCACACACACTGCGTAAGGACTGTTCGTACTAGACAAGCTGCAAGCTGCGAACTTGGACAAGTAATAGGGAGGGAGGGAGAAGGAGAAGAGGCTGCCAGGGATGTAACTAACAATAAGCAGAATCTCGGAGCAGACGGCAGCAGTCACGTTAACATTCATGAAACTTTTTCTTCTTTTTTCATCGTTTAATCCATATTGATCTAGCACTGTCAGCATTACTTGTTTTTCGTTTTTTTTTTTTTTTATTTTTTACAATAAAATATTCAAGAAAACCTGTTTATATTATTGTCAACTCGAAAATTATTAATTCCACAATATTTTTGTTCAGGATGGATTAATTTCACTAAATTAATTTGAATTAAAAAATCCATAAGTTTGGTTTAATGAACATTTATTAATTTTATGAGAATACTCCACAAATAAATAAATACGTGTATGTTTTAATATGTACTTATTTTATAAATATATATGTGTATTGACACGTCTAAAGTATAAGTGTTTTTCTAATGTCACAATACCTATGATTTCTGACTCTATACTGTATATATATTTCGAAGAAGTATTTATTCACGACGAAAGACCCTTTTATTTATCTATTTTATCTCATTGATACGCGGGTGACATCGGACTTTACAAAAGAGACACATGGTAAATGAAAAGTTGTGTATGTCTTGAATTACGAAAAGAAGCACGTGACACGCTTCTGGGAGATCCCCAAGTTTATCGGCATAGACGAACAGCATTAAATTATGTGAGATATTTATATATCTTTCCTTCCTCTTCCGCGCGCATACTATTATAAATTAATTCCAGAATATTGCAATATTTAATATTGCGTTTTCATCATAATTCTCGAATGCAATATTGAAATATATATGTATATATGTAATTGAAGCGCCGAGAATAATACGAGGCTTAATACCATAATTATATTGATATTACTTTTCTCTCTCTAATTATAGGATGGCGTACGAAAAAATACCACGATCTTTTTGTTAGTATCAAGGTCGCGATAAGAATTTTATGTTACATAAGGAAGCAAATGTTATATTTATACAATGTTATTTTACTATTTTAAAAGTTGTATTTTTGCTGTTCTCTAAATTTCCTATAAAAAATATCCTTCTACGATTGCGCCTTCAACAGCAGTAAAAAACAGCTTAAAGTATAGATAAACGAAAATAATGATAGTCATAATTAGATAATATAGTTAGATAAACGAAATCGAGATGTAGCGTTTAGATGTAATATCACATTAAAAATATATATATGTTCAATGACAAAAGTATAGATAATATATGTCTCGTTCATCGATTGATATCTACAAGCATTTTCATCACATCAACGATTAGATACTCGAGACGAACGGATCCGTTTTGTGTGTTGTAGTCTCACGTTTGACATTAATCATAAAAAATTTTATAAAAACGCTATATACAAGTGGTCACGTAGTGATAAACAATACAAACGATAAAAAGATATTGTACGGATTAGCTATGTCAAAAGTAAACAAATGTAGAATACATTTCGAGATTCATGAATTTGATTGCGCGCACACACACACACACAAAGCACTGTTAGCCTATTAAAATATAGAATAATTAATTTGTGTGAGTTAGTAAGTAAAGATTTGTCTTGTAGAATATAATTTTATCTCAAAATCGTAAATATTATATCTGATATCAAATTAATTATTTTATAGTGATTGTATCACGATTTTAATTGTACATCACAAAAATTCAGGAAAATAAAAATTTTAATTCTACAGGGCAAATCTTTAACTCACAAATTAATTATTAATTATATTTTAAAAAGTTAAAAGTGTGCTTTATGCGCAATAAATTCATGAATCTCAAAATGTATTAAATTTATTTACTTTTGATGTAGCTAAAAACATGGAAAACACCGCAATTACTCGATAGAGAATTACATTCCTGAAAATACAAAACGGTAGGAAAAATTTTCATCGAGATATAATAAATAGTAATAATAGAAAACGTGCTTGGGAGATATTTTTTGTATCTCAATTATTTATTCTATTGTGTGGAAAAAAAGAGAGAATAAGAAAAAACGATAATCATGTCCATATTTTTAGTAACATAAAACAAAAAATTATATGGACAGCATAAGATAAAATAATAAGTAAAAATAATAACGTAGCAGTAAAAACAAGTAAAAATAATAACGTAGCAGTAAAAATAATAACGCAGAAGAATTCACAACGAAGTATCTTTCCGCTTGCGCCAAAAGATAACAAAGAAATACAAATGAACGTTGTAAAAGCGATTACGCAATCGCTAAGCCTTAAATTTGACACGACGTGAATGGCAAAAAAAAAGCGATGAGCGAGCAAGTCGTTGTTTTTTTACAAAGAAATACAAATGAACGTTGTAAAAGCGATTACGCAATCGCTAAGCCTTAAATTTGACACGACGTGAATGGCAAAAAAAAAAAGCGATGAGCGAGCAAGTCGTTGTTTTTTTTACGTAATTCTCCCATAATTAACTACCGGAGGGGGAGGGGGAGGAGGTAGAAAAGTAATTTACCTATTATCTTATACATAAATTGTTGCAATATAAAGTGTCGTAAGTGGCTTCAATATAAAAATTACACATTTTGTTTCTGAAAAGTTTGGTGACGAAGCACGTCATGCGTCATACCACACTTTATACACGTACGTATATATCCTCTCCTACTCCATCCGAACCGTCGAACGGCTCAAACTGGTCCGCACTCTGGCAGAGAGACAGGTATGTATGTAGTGTTATAGTGTATGTAATAAACCGAGTATAGTACACGCGGTGTCTGAGCGGATTCAAAGAATCGTGAGATTCGTCAGAAATTAAATCCGGTAAACGGTAAACCGCGTGTCGCGAGCTGTCGAACGAATATCAGGACAGACAGGTTGCGTGGGTGTGGTAGAGATAAAACGAGACACGAGATTTCCGGATGTCTGGTCGGTTTGCTAAGGGAGCCCCGTTCACGCCCTGATCGAAAGGCGAACAAGAACAAGCTTGAGCTGAAAAGAAAACAAAAAGAAAAAAAGAAATATTCCTGGAAATATATCCTCTCGACGAATCAAGTACTCACCGAGTACGTATCTTCCGGGTAAATTGTATTATTATATGATTTGATTGTGTGCATGCGTATCCGTGTTATATCTGACAAAATATAAATTGGAAACGGTAATGATAATTCGGTGACGTTTCGTATGGGAGTCATTAGGTCTGTTCTTTTTAACTGCACTTTGTACGCACTTTCTTTACTTTATCTTTATCTCTGTCTCTAAATCCCTATATAATTTTAATTGTACAAAGTGCTACTAAAGTCGCGTTTTAAGTGTAGATGCAAAGGGTCATTGCCATTACGTGCTGTCAAAGCCCTTCAACTGTGTGACTTGTGGTATAGTGATCTTTTTTTATATACTGTTTTATGCTAAAGATGTGTGTGTGTGTGTGTGTTTCTCGCGCACTCAACAATTTTTCAAAAAAACAAAAAAATAATAAATTATGTTCAATAAAATTTTTGTGGTAATATAAGTGGCATCATAAAGATTGTACATATAGATAACATAACCTGTTGTGTTATAGAAAAATGTCAAACGTGGGTAATCTGGAGCAGCAAATTGCGAGCTTGCAGATCAATCACGGCGATGAAGCGGCCAAGACTATTAAACCTGGCAAGAAGATCGGACCAGCAGTGCCGCCAAAGCCAAAAAAATCTCAACCCCAGGTGAATATTCCTGTAATCTAACATTTAACTCATTATAGAACACTATTATAAAATAGTGTTTCTTTTTTTCAATTTGCATGCATCCTCTCAAACACGGATGCAACAATGGTAACAAAATATATTTATATATCGGATATTGGAGATGTTTATAGAAACTTCGAAAAAGACATGGAAATATTTGTTTCAGATACCGCAAAGTTATATCGTAAAGGCTCCGCCTATGCCATCATATAGCACAGTTCTCAATAATACGGCTTCAAGTGACAAGACTTCGAATTTGTACATGAACGCACCTTCTCCGTATGTTCCGCTGGATATAAAGAACGACTTCTCTCAAATGGTACCTACAAATGGCACGGAAGCACCGAAACTTTATCAGAACAATGACAATTTGTATGCATGTCAGCCAGAAGAGAAGTTTGAACCAAAATACAGATATGATGAGAAGAATTATTATTCCAATATTGGAAATATGCCGGCTCCACAGGTGCCTGTGGATGATCGCGCGAGCAGAGCGTCCAGAAACGCGGTGTACAGCAATATAGAACCACCAGTGCCCATTCCGGTTCCTACATACAAATATCCTAGCGAAAGTGAGAAGGATATTATATATAGTAACATACAGTGGAATTCTAAAACAGAGAACACATACTGCAACGTCCCTCCTGCACATGGCACTGGTAACAATTTTTCTAAATTAATTAAATATATATAAATTTGTGGAAAATTGATAGCATCTGAATGTGTATATGTGTGATCACATTTTTATAAAAATTTCAATGTCTAATATTCAAATACTCCCAGGAAGCTAAAAATACAATTTCTAAAAAACTTTTTTGTAGCAATATAAGGTAATACATCTTTGATTTCAGATGATTTACCACCACCGCCAGAACCATTAGAATATGTTTCTTGCATACCTGGGAATTCATTTCCACCGCCACCCGAGGAACTGCCTCCGCCACCGAGTCCGGTTTCGTCGAGTTACAGCGAGCTGCGACGTGCCACTTATCAAACCGATTTTCCATCGGGCAACTATCCTACAGATATCTACGGTCCGAGTTCTCAGTCCAGCTCGACGTATGAATCCATATACGAGCCGATTAATCCCAGACCACCATCGCAATTGTCCTGCAACTACTCAATGTATTCTGGCTACGGGTCAGCTGCATCTACTCAACCGCAGGGCAAAGTATCTCCTGTTAAAGAAGTGAGTCTCAAAATTCCATACTATATCTGAAATGTTAATTTTT